ACTCTCCTTGATTCTTTGCGCGATAAATCTCTATTCTTGTACGATTAATTCTGCGCTTTATCATTGTGCTCACATCTAACTAGAGGGTTCTGTATTATAAACGTTTAAACTTTTATGTGCCATCAATATTTTATTTTTATTTTCGAGGTTGTACTTTTGTACTTTTACGAATAGATTTCGGAAAGATAAACGTGCTCACTGGTTTACTGTCACAACCATGAACTACGTGGTTTGTTATTTTACATAGTAGTGCCTGAATACAATGTATTATTTAGATTATAAACAGCGAAATCAAAGTTATTAATCGTTTGGTTTATGTCACAGTGAGTAGTGAGCTAGCTGGGCGCGCCGGAGCAAGTCAGTACGCGCGGCACGTCGTCGAACCCTATCGTAGGCTTCATACTGGCCGGCGACATCTGCACATTTTCGACGTTATCGACTAGAGGACACATTTTTATAGGAACAAATTTAATCTAAGCAGAAGGAGGGATCAGTCTCGAGAGTGCCCTGCTCGCACGTGTCCCCACGACGTGAGCACGGGCTAACGATTTTTCAGAACGTTATTATATGTCCGATAAAAGACTTTATCTAGAAACTGCCTTTGGCGTCAGTCCCTTTTTTGTTTGCATATCATATTTATTTAACGCACTACGTGTACCTGTGTGACCCGTTCACGTAGGCGGGTTTATGTAAATAATGCTCAAATATTGGTCCTGTGATCATCGTGCCAATAAAAGCACTCCCAAAGAGTTTGTTACTTACACGTAGCGTGTTTACAAGCAAATTATCTGATATTAAATAATGCCAAACATGTTTACCCAGGTACGGAACGACATTCAGCGCTCGTACGCCGTAAGCATCACGTAAATAAAAAGGCATTTTCAGTTAAATTTTCTTTATGCTGTCCATATTACCTCAAACATAAATCAAAGAGAAGTACACTAATGAACGTAGTAGGTATCTAAACATCTTAACTTACAATCGAATGAACTCGTTGGCAGTTTAAAACAGCGCACGCCACTTAAGTAGTAGCTTCCTGAGTCGATCTACTTAACTAACAAGTTTAAACTAAAACAATAGGTTAAACAATCTAACCGCGGCAAGAGGTCATTAAGTTTTTGTAACTCTTCCCCTGGGCCTCAACAAGGATGTAGGGTCGTGCGAAGAAAATTTTCTTAGAAAAACAATAAATTTTGTGTGAGCTACGCTCGAGTGAGTTTCGGTGTCGGCTGAGCGAGAGCACGCTCGCCATAATATATTGAATTTGAAACGAACAAACTTTTACGTTCTCCCCGCCGCGTGTAAAAAGATTTTCTCAAAATGTTTACAATGCAATAATTTTTATGCGACATGAAAGAACAACGAAGTTCAACCCCAACATTCACACGAATACGTTAACTTGAAGTTAATGTTTTATCACTACACTTACAACTCACAAAAGATGTCTACTAATTATTAGACATCTTTACTTTAATTATTTTTACTTTTTTATTAAAATACATACAAGGTCAAGTTACAAAAACTATCTTACAATAAAAATGATTACATAGGTACTCACTCGGCTACCAACTTGCCTGTACGTGGGTAAAGATATTAATAAACATATTTTAGGTTTAACTCCGTTCAAAGTTGAAAAGAAATGAAAATAAAAGTAAACTTCTTTCTTAAGTGAATACAAAAAGCTAAAACTCCATTAATAATTCTTTCATTTTCGGAAACAGGAATATCTCATTTACACCCAAATCCTTTTTCTTCGGACTCATTCCCCAATTCCTCATCAAAGTATCAATAAGAGTTGTAACGAATCTTTCTTTATCTTTCAAAACAGTTATTGATCGGCAGGAACACTTTGTATCATGCCGTTTTACCGGCGGTTAAACCACAAAAAATATTTGTGAAAAGGTGTGAGATCTTCTGGCTTAATCCCCGACGATTTGCAAAGACGGAAAAAAGGGTTTGTGAGCTTAGACGGCACCGATCCTCCATACAACCCTCTTGCCCACGCCTATCACCCTTGGCTCTATTTATTTTCCCCGAGTAAGTAGTAACGGGAAATATCCATATCGACAAGTTATTAACGCAGTATGTCAGTGTAGCGAATCGCTTTCATCTGAAATATATATAGTGTACACGAAGTATTTTTTCACTAAAATGTATTCGGATGTTTGATTAAATTTACCGCGATAGTAAAAATATAACTAACAGAGTATAAACTGACCAGGAACGCGTCGTGTTACATGTTGTTTTCTGTTTCGTGGTGTGAACAAAGCACTTACTATGTTAATTTTACCGGTAACTAGCAGCATATTAAGTTTACTTTTCATCATATATTAATTAAACTTTTTTACAGGTAAAAAAAGATAATACGTTCTCTAATCAAAAATAGTTAAACACTCAGTAAATTAACCTCATCACCTACAACAGCTTGAAGACACCCACTGCTGAACAAATGCCTCCCCCTTAGTCTTCCACGTTGAACGGCAACTCACCACCTGCGTCCCCCTGTCATTCAATAAAATATCACTAGATAGCTTTTGAAAATTAAAAATTATTAAAAAAAATATCAAAGCAGACCCAAGTAATGCCAAAGCAGTACCTATATATTTTTAAAAAACCTTGACCGCTTAGTATAAAGAACTTTGTCCTAAAACTGTACAGAATCCTTGTCTACGAAAGTAGTATAATAATTTAATTTTATTATAAGTTAAGGTGGCTAGCCGTGGTCGTGTTCGCTGCGGTAGCACCCACTGTTTTAATTTATCTCTCCTGGCCTTGTAATCATAATTAAGTAGGTACAAAGTTGAAACAAGTTAAACCTTTTAAAATATATTCATACGTCAGCCAATGTGGAAAAGAAGATCCTTTAAAACTGTTGTTTAGATATTTGATGCTTACTCTAGAAGTAGGTGCTTATGTTAACTTCATTACGTTTTATTTTATATCGGTTATCACACTTTCCCTCAGTATCGTAAAGAAGACTAATTAAGTGCATTTTTATTTAGGAGAAAAATAAATAATAAACGTTGATAATTATGGTTTAAAACCGCTTATTGTTTTACTGCATCGGTGATCAAGTGGTCGCAAGTGCGACTTGCGGGCAAGAGGTCTCGGGTTCGGCTTCCGGGTCGAGCACTGTATTACTGGGCTTTTTAAAAATTTCTCAGTAGTAGAACGGAGTCTGGAATAGTGCCCGGTATATGGCAATAGGCTAACCCCCTATATGTATAATTACTTTAATAATAACGAAATGCTTAAGGGCCTTTGAAAGGGCCTGTACGGTTGGTGCGGTTGCTGGGCAACTGGCTGCCGCGCGGGTTCGATTCCCGCACGGAACAACTCTTTGTGTGATCCACAGATTGTTGTTCCGGGTCTGGGTGTATGTGAACTTATTTGGTTGTAAACGTATCCACGACACAGGAGTAAATCCTAATCCCCAAATTAACATTTTTTAACGATTAAAAAAAATTTCTTTAAAATGTACAGTTAGAAAGTTAATTATTCAATAAAAGCAACCTAGTTCAAATAATTCTGAATTCCAATTTTAGCATTTTTAAACGGTAAATCCATAAAATTTTTAAATTAAACACACATTTAGAAAGAATATTTCGGCACTGAAAAATAAAAATACCTAGAAACAAATCCAACTCAAACAATGTTATTTCAAAAGTTGTAAAAACTAAAACAGCCTTAAAACTTATATTTGAAGAAATATCAAAACAATATCGTTCTCATTTCTTAATATATTTCATTTATAACAAAATGAAAACATAAACGCAATTTTGAAAAAGAAAATGAAATAGAAAATTTAATTCGGCATTGTATTACACAAATCAAAGGTAAACAGTAATGCTAAACCTTACTTAATTGTACGTATCATGGATCGTATTAGGTCGAGACCGTATTGACATATTAACATACTACAATTAATTATTCATGCTTATTGGATTCATCCGGGCTGAAACATTCTGATAATATTAACGTGAGCGTTGTTAATCTTCACTGCTGCTGTTAATTAAAGATGTTCCATGTTTGTCTACGTTCATACGCGTCTATTAGTTTATAGATAATGGTAATCATCGCCGAGAGGCCCACGAAACCTTCGCCGAAGCATTTTGTATGTAATCCTTGTTGTGAGATCGCACTCATTAATTATTAAGACGGCATCTAACCTCATTGACGCTACCGACGTAAATTATCATGTAATCGCATAAATTACGCACCTATTTACATTTCATACTCATTTGAATAAATACGTCCCTTTTACTTTTTAAATGTTTAAACTGTAAGAAAAAAAATGTAATTTTACCGTACACATAAAAACCCGGAACTTTTAAAAGTGCAGTCGTCGAGGCGAAACTTTTGGGCAAATTAATTTACAATATTTGATAAAAATGAATCTTTTTATACGTTAACATCAATCTCAGAAATATCAAAGTGAACTTAAAAACTCATCATAATTAACATTCATTTAAATTTGAAATTATTCATAGCAGAAAGCGAAGTTGCCGTGGTGGTATTTAACGCCGCACCTGCCCGAGGCGTCTTAGCGTGGTCGAAATTAATGCGACGCAAAGTCGGCAAAAGTCAATTACACTTTATTAAAACCGTCTCCATTTATATCAATTTGACGCAAACTGTTACAAATACTGGTAATGTTCCGTCCTTTCATCCGAGAGCGAGGCGGGGCTACGCAAGCGCCGGGAGCGTAGCACACTCGTAGACAAAGCGGCGCGGGTAGCGTAGCGCGGCCAGTACGCAGCCAGAGCGCCGCGAGATCGCAGCGCGCCGCCGACGGACGCTGCCGCACGCTCGCCGGCACCGGCATACGAACCCCACTCGATCCACCTGCCGATGAATATTTAATGGAGCCGATTTCGATGGCGAATGAATGAGGAAACATCGTTACCCCACTGACATTCATCACAACACTTTTGTTGACGTATTTGTAAATCTTGGAAAAGTTATTTCGATTAACATGTCGTTGGGGTAAACTAATCAACATGATGAGCGGACGAAGATTGGCCTCGTGTTCAGCAGTCACAGCTGTGTTGCTGGTGCTCATAATTAGTGGTTCAGTTACATCGTCAGACGGTGAGTACGAAGTTTCTCGTTAAGTAATTAACAACATAACTAATAAGTTAGTTTCACAAAATTTAGTTGCTAGTTGTTTTAGTTAAAATAAATTATAAGGGATAATAGAGGGAGTATAACTGAAAAACTTTCCGCTGCGAAACAATTACATAAATTAATTTATGTTATTAATAAACAATTATACAATTTGAAGTTTTCCACGGCGTTAATTATTTTTTGAGCAGCGGGAAGTCTCACAAAGTTTGTTATTTTCTTTACAAAAAGTTTTAGGAAACAACGCAGAGCGTAGATAGCACTTTTACCAAGTTTTAACCGGCTCGCAGTCTATAAAGTACATTACAATGAAACAGGTGGCTCTTCTTTTATTGGATCCTGAGGATTTTCACTTTATTCCGTTATTTTGCCACGATTGTTATACTTACAAAATACATCAAGGAAATATTTTACAGACAAATGTGTCAAATTTATTTAACAACAACTTTAGAAAAGTGAAACCATTTCTTGCTACAGTGTAGATAGATATACTACAGATAGAGATACATATTATTTACATAACATAATAATATTTTCATTTATACCTCATAAATGAAAACTTTAGTCTCAAATTCAATAATGAACATTCGTTTCTGACATCTTGAAAACTTAGACTCTTTGCATTTGATATCATTTTGCATTGAATGTCATAGAAATGTTTCTCTTAAATATGCTTCGCCGTCTGTTTCTCAGTAGTAACTTCAAAAGCAGGCTGCTCATTAGCGAACGCTATGTGGTGGTCCATGTGTGTCGTTCTAGGAAAATATTTTTAACTTAAACGACAGTATCGAGATATTCTGATGTTATGTTTTGATGCCTTTTTATTGTGTAAAATAACTTTAAGAGTTGTGTTTTGAACTGTTGTTTTTTTGCAATAAGACACGGTTTTTGATCTGCAAAAGGAGTATACAAAGGTACAGAGGGGGACATATATAATGGTAATACCAATTTTTACTAGTTATGTTTTGTGCATATAGGTGAACCTATTGCCATACACTGGACACAATTCCAGAATCCGTGTTATTACTGATTGACTGACTGACTATACAAACTAAAAATACTCTTGTAACACTTTGCACAGCCCGAGTATCGAACTCAGGAACCCTTGGTAGTGCTGTGCCCAACAATAGCTGCAATTGGGACCTTTCGACCAAATTATTTTGTTATGTTTCCAGGATATTCTGATGTCATAAAATTAATTTGTTTAATGTCATTGTTCATGAAATAAAGTTGTATTAATTTAAGCATACTTAATATGATTGCAGAAAACAAAAAAATTCAAATACAATATGCCAATAACTATACAAGGTAGATCTTACTTAACAAAATAAGATGCGTTCAATATTAAACATTAAAAAATAATACATAAATTGCTATTTTACATAGTACAGTTAAAAACATTAAAGTATTATTTAACCCTTTTTCGTTCCAATTAAAAGAGGTTGCAATGCACAGCTTTCTGTCTTAAATAATAAATGTTTTGGAACTAAAATCCCAGTAAGACACTCTGCACTTAAGAAATCACTTAAATTAATTAATGTTTCAAAAGCAAAATTTTAATATTTTTGATTGCTTCTTTAATCAAGCGGAAGCCAGCGAGAATGCTGACTTCCTGAGTAATCTAATAATCTAAAACTTAATGTTGTTGAAAGAGAATAGTAATTTCTAAAGATATACTGGTAGTTACATATACTCCGCGCAAATAAAAAAAACTTAACAATACTTTTTACTCATTTTCTTATTCTTATAATATCTATCGTGAGACATACTAAATTAAGTAAAAATCGCAGCTTACTCAAGTGAATATTATAAACTAGTAGAGCACTTTTCTCGGTATATTCACGTGGGTAACCCGCGATTTTTAGTTAATTTCTTATTCTTCCTTATTCTTTTATCTCATCATCATCATCATCATCATCGACAACAGTTAACAGTGACAGACAACAGACTACTACAGTATTCGGTACATAAAAGGGTATACTGTAATCTCCACACTTCGAGGGTTGGACATCACATTTTAAAAGGTTCCAGTATATCAGAGATCTTCTGCTGTCCCAGACAACCAGTCTGGTTTCTGTCAAATGTGTATTAGCTTACTTTACAGCACATCAACAGCCTATAAGTAGCCAGCGCTTACCAAAGGACTCTTCTCGCACAGATAAATAAGATTTAAAACTTCTAATTAGAAAAATAGTTGTTGGCCCAGGTTTCCTCACGATGCTTTACTTCACAATTTATCAGTAGCGTCTAAATAATGTTAGAAAGTACTATAACTCGTAAGAATGTTTTCTTAGTAGTTGCCGTTATTAGGTTTTGAACCAACATTTTCATGCATGAGGAGCGGGCGTTTTAAATCTCCTCTACTATGACATCGAGTACGTCGCTTACTTGACTTTTACAAAACCAATGGGAAGTATAGAAGTGGTGGCAAATGCACTCTAATCTTTATCTATTTATTCAATTAGTCAGTATCACTTAAAACGCATGTATGCAGAGGGGTTACTGGATCATTGCGTGCTCTGTATCGCGTAAAAAATTTGCTTCCTCCCGCTACGAAGGTCATGTTGGTGCAAGCCTTGGTTTTCCCTATCATCGATTATGCTGATGTCTGCTACTACGACCTGAATGCAGATCTCCTCAATAAGCTCGACCGACTTCTAAATAACTGCATCCGATTCGTTTTCAACCTGCGTAAATACGATCATGTTTCTGCACATCGGTTGCAACTAAAGTGGCTGCCCATACGCCAGCGCAGGGAGCAAAGGGCGCTAACCATTCTATTCTCCTTTCTTTCTTCACCTTCTTCACCCAGTTATCTATCCCCTTACTTTCAATACTTATCCGCAAACCACAGTAAAAATCTTCGTTCTTCTCACAACCGTCTTCTCCAATGTCCCACTCATCGCACTCACTTCTTACATTCATCCTTTTTCGTACAGGCAATTTTTCTGTGGAATGCGCTCCCCCTGGATGTCAGGATGGTCTCAACTCGACTAACTTTTAAGCATAAAGTACGTAAGGTTTTCTTAAAGAGGTTGGCTGAATCATCGCGCTAACTATCCACTGGGTACTAGTAAGCAAGTATATATTTATATATTATGTATATATGTATGCATATTGTAGGCATATTGTACTCACGTGTAGGTATATATTATAATTAAATTTATTTATGTATGTATATCTCCGAAATATATTAGTTTATCTTTCATTGTTAAATAAAATCACTGCTTGCCTCTTGCACCTACCAATTACTCTTCTCTGCATCACCCAAAGGTCAGACTGGTAGAAAATGCCTGCGGCATTAAGTCCACCTTTTTGTACATATTGTGCATGAAGCATATTAAATAAATAAATAAAACAACCAAAGCCAACAGTTCATTCACTAAACTTTAAAAGTTAAGAATCTCCAAGAAAAGTGTTTTAAAAAGTACTCAACTCTACTGATGTCTATGATGAATAGACAAGTGCTTGTGTGCGGTGCCGACGTCCTTGTTGTGAAAGGGACATTGTTTATAGGCTATCGCGACTACAAAACGTCATAACGTCAATGGATGCTTTAGAAACTACATCGAGATAAATGCGTCGGCGCTTATGTTCTTTTTCTTCTGCTAAGATAATGATTTGATACGCGTCTATGACTCTACAATAATACGTAATTAAAATGTTACTGGCTGAACAGCTAATCATTTTGCGTTAATATCTTGTTCATAATAAATATTCGTATATCTATATAAATATAAATGTATTTCCGTTCGTTAGTCTCGCTGAAACAAGAGAACGGCTGAACCCATTTGGCTAATTTTGGTCCTAAAGGAAGGTTTAAAAAGTGAGACAACGGAGGTTTTTGAGGCGGTACGAAGGTTGCCGGGTGGAGCTAGTCTATCAATAGAATATTCGGTAAAACATTTTTGATAATACGTTCATAATTTTCTATCAGTCATAACTTCACAATTTCCAAATTAAACCAATAAGACAGTTGTGTACATACAATATACCTTGTTTTTTAATATCAATTAATATGTTAATACCGACAACAAAGTGTCACATTTAATCAGTCGAAATGTCGATTTTAGTTCTGAAACTGATATAAAAGGACATAACATAAACAAATTAACACAATCTCTTAACGGATTAATTTAAATACAATTTCCCGTACAGCGGCAAACATAAACACTACTGAAAGCAATTATAATATCAACAAAAGCCGAGATTTATTATTTAACTCGTCGAGTACCGGTTTTATAGACACAATTAAAGAACAATAGGTCGCGGTCACCGGTGACCGCTTGGTGTTTGACAGTTTAAAGTTATTAATACCATAAACTCATGCAGAGGCAAACAATTGACATATTTTTCCACCATGCCTGCTCCACGTTGATATCTATAACCCCCATTATTCAGAGGATTAGCTTTTTACTGGATGAGTCGTAGAATATTCAAAAGGGAATTATTGGATTTTGCTGAATCTATACGACTGTTCCACTAAAATCGTTCTAATCTTTCATTGTTATTGTCTGCTCCTATTTTACATTTATTTGTAAGCCTCACTCGATATACCTCTACAATGAATTAATCTATCAAATTTCGAAATCAATTGCAATAACACAATAAGTAATTCAATACTGATTGTTGATCGAATGGAAACAGCGAGGGGAAAGGAAAACAACGCAACAAAACGAGATTATATTATCGGATTATTTTACTGTGTCCGCTCTTAGCAACAACACAGTCTCCATTACTGACGTCTGAACCAGTCATCGCGCTTGCAATTATCTATAGAGCCTCGGCGTTTGATTACTACCTACTATTAATATAGAAATCATCTATAGATGTTCTATCGCCGTCGACGACTGTAAACTGACCTACTTACTGTCGCAGTATCTAAGACGTGGGTTATGAATGTGGAAAAACTTTGTCGCATTTCATTTTAAACGAAGATGTTGAGAAATGGGTGACGTTTTGGTCGA